CACTACATCCCCACGGTGATTTACGAATATTCTTTTGCTGAGATGAGATTCGATCACTTTGTTGGATCAATCTTCCCTCTCAAACCCTCCTTTGGTCAAACCTTTAAACAGTTAGGACCAAAGCCAAAATCCCCTCTCGATTCGTTCCATGAACGAGAGGTCCACAAATTGAACGATCAAACCTTTAAACAGTTAGGATTATCTCAAACCCTTATTTGGTCAAACCTTTTAACAGTTAGGACCAAAGCCAAAATCCCCTCTCGATGCGTTCCATGAACGAGGGGTCCACAAATTGAACGATCAAACCTTTAAACAGTTAGGATCGTCTCAGAACTCCCACTTGGTCAAACCTTACTACAGTTAGGACCAAAACCAAAATCCCCTTTCGATTCCTTCCATGAACGAAAGGTCCACAAACAGTTGAATAATCAAACCTTATGACAGTTAGGATTATTCAAACATGTCCAGATTCTCTAAGTGGAGATCCCACTTTGAGTTTCCTTTGCACCTGGAGATAGAATATAAAATTCTTCCTCTCCAGGATTGGGTTCATCTCTACCAACAAAAAAGAGACCAGGAGATAGAATATAAAATTCTTCCTCTCCATCAGAACGCGACTCTCGATCCGAGGTTCCAAAAGGAGTATTCTTTCGAAGATGATGAAGCTCCAGCCATCTTGGAATACCTCCTCGCCAATGACAAAATCGAGCTACCGCTTATTAAAGATCAGGAGGGTGCTAAGATGATTACAGATCCAAACTACTGTGCATACCACAGAAGGGTTCTTCATCCCACCAATATTTGCTTTGGACTCAAAAATAAGATCCAAGCATTAATTGACTCCGGCATCATAACGGCGAAAGAGGTCGAGTAAAGACGACCATATGACTCCGATGAGTATACGAGTATAAACTGTTTTCCCTGACTCCGAAAAGTATACGAGTATAAACTGCTCCTCGATACTCCACACGAGTATAAACTGTTTCCCCAGACTCCGATAGGTATACGAGTATAAACTGCTTCTCCATCTCACTCCGAAAAGTATACGAGTATAAACTGCTCCTTAATACTCCAACAGGTATATGAGTCTAAACTATTTCCTTTCTTTCACGGGAAGTTCCTGGAGAATGCCATGCATGGTACTTTTAAGGATAACCTGATCATATAGCTAAACATAATGATAAACTCAGTTTCGTAAGAAAAAGCTCATTATGAACAAAGTGATAAACACTAAACTCCTACTATGACTTCCGAATACTCGTTTGCTGAGATGAGATTCGATCACCTCTTTAGATCAATCTTCCCTCACAAAATTCCCTTTTTGGTCAAACCTTTAAACAGTTAGGACCAAAGCCAAAATCTCCTCTCGATTCGTTCTATGAACGAGAGGTCCACAAATTGAACGATCAAACCTTTAAACAGTTAGGATCGTATCAAATCCCCATGTTGGTCAAACCTTTAAACAGTTAGGACCAAAGCCAAAATCCCCTCTCGATGCGTTCCATGAACGAGGGGTCCACAAATTGAACGATCAAACCTTTAAACAGTTAGGATCGTCTCAGAACTCCCACTTGGTCAAACCTTACTACAGTTAGGACCAAAACCAAAATCCCCTTTCGATTCCTTCCATGAACGAGAGGTCCACTTTCAGTTGAATAATCAAACCTTATGACAGTTAGGATTATTCAAACCCGTCCAGATTCTCTAAGTGGAGATCCCACTTTGAGTTTCCTTTGCACCTGGAGATAGAATATAAAATTCTTCCCCTCCATCATCGGGTTCATCTCTACCAACAAACAAGAGACCAGGAGATAGAATATAAAATTCTTCCTCTCCAATTCCGGGTTTATCTCTACCAACAAACAAGAGACTAGAAGATAGGATATAAAGTTCTTCCTCTCCAATTCCGGGTTTATCTCTACCAACAAACAAGAGACCAGGAGATAGAATATAAAATTCTTCATCTCCAATTCCGGGTTTATCTCTACCAACAAACAAGAGACCAGAAAATAGGATATAAAGTTCTTCCTCTCCAATTTTGGGTTCATCTCTACCAACAAACAAGAGACTAGGAGATAGAATATAAAATTCTTCCTTTCCATCATCGGGTTCATCTCTACCAATAAACAAGAGACCAGGAGAAAGAATATAAAATTCTTCCTCTCCATCATTGGGTTCATCTCTACCAACAAAAAAGAGACCATATTACTCCAATAGGTACACGAGTCTAAACTGTTTCCCTACCATCAACAGGAAGTTTCTGGAGAATATCACTCAAAATATTCTTAAGAATAACCTGGCTACCTCCCAACGGATATACGAGGTTAAACTATTTCCCAAGAACTTCAAAAAATACATGAGTATAAACTGTGTTCCTGTGAAGACTGATACAGTGATTAACAATGCGGTATCAATTTGATGACAAAAGCTGAATTCACAAGTACAAATTCCAGCTTCAATTCAAGATCTCGACGACGGTCAAGCGATGAACGCCATGCCGAAAGAATCTTAGCTATTCTACAAAGCACTGAATAGACTGAGAGACAAAGAGATCAAGTGTTGAAGCCATCTACAGGTTCTTCTATACGATCTACCCAACCAAGCATGGAAAGGATCATAAGTAAGACCTATCTTATCCAAAGCATCCCAGAACTCCTCTATAAAAGATTGAGTCTGGAATACTTTGGAGGGGGTATCTGTAGGCGTCAAAAAATGCTGAAAGGAATCCAAACACAGCTCAAAAGGAAGTCATCCAAAATGCCAAAAAGAACACAAGTATAGACTGTCTCGCACGCGAGACAGTCTTTACTGTCTCGCACGCGAGACAGACTTGACTGTCTCGCCGTGCGAGATAGTCTTTACTGTCTCGCAGGGCGAGACAGACTTTTACTGTCTCGCCCACGCGAGACAGTCTTTAAAACTGCCTGACGGTTACTGTTTCCGAGACATCGTTTACTGTCTCGCGGGCCGAGACAGCAAACACTGTCTCGCCCGCCGAGACAGCAAACACTGTCTCGACAGCCGAGACAGCAAATGCTGTCTCGCGAGCCTGTTTTCCGCCAACTATTCATAGGGGCTATAAATACCCCCCGAAGGCTATTTTGAAGGGAGGGGCTGATCAGAGAGCATTCACAGGCTGATTTCAGAGCAGAGAGGGCAGAGTACTCGAGCTTCTGTAACTCCTTGATATTCAGGCTTTGACTTGATTTCAAGAAGAACGACTATCTTACCTTGATAAGATATCGTTTCAAGTTCTCACTTCGATAAACGAAGTCAGAATCATAAACCCCTCACGATTCGATCAGAATCTGTGATTTGGTGGTCCACGGGATAACGCACCCCCGGCACAGGCAAAGATCCCACGCAAGCAGTGATCCAAACAACGATCATGCGTTTGTTTCTCAAGAGTTGTAATTTTCATTTTGTTGTGTAAAAGAAGTCTTATAAAAAAGGCTATATCTTTTTGAATTTATTGTAATCGACTGAAGATATAATGAATTCCATGACAAAACCAACTTTTGACGCAAACAGCAGCTCCAGATAATAATGAAGAAAATGAGTAATAAGTTACAGTGGATAAGGGGCCTGTCCGCAATTAGCCTAAACAAAAAATTTGAGCTAGTTTCGAATTCCTTTGTTCCTTTGTTGATTTGCTTTGCAGGCCTACGTATGGTTTATTAGCTGGGAAGGAATCAGTGCTCACGGCCTTGTCTCCACAAATCTTAGGTAGGTAGCTCTCTCATTGTGGATCAAGATCTAGTGAAAACGTTGAGCTCAAGTGTGCTGGATAATTGATGCTGGATTTTCTCTGTCATCTACTTAGAGAGGGCAGTTTCTGTTTGTATGATCCTGCTCAAAAGTACATCACACCGTATATTTGATGTTGGAAATAGAACTGCAGGCTTGTATTAGAAATCTATCCCTTGTGGGTTTTTCCTTTTAAATGAGTTGTAACTTCTTAAATCAAACGCTAATCTCAGGGCCAATTTCTTAAACAAACTCTCATAGAGATATTATATTAATTAGTCACACAATCTGGACAAGTCGGGTTATAGTGTACCATACTCCTGTTACTAATCTGATAACAGCAGCAACAAAAAAAAAAAAAAAAAAAAATTAGGGGGGGGNCTCCTGTTACTAAAAGTCAACATTTGTGCACTTCCAGTGGTGGGTTACAGCGTACCATCACGGAGGGAGGATTTGACAAGAAGAAGGGAACAGAGACGCTTCTAATAAGTCTTTTGAAACAAATAAAATGAAAATTGTCACGAAGAGGATTACTACTGCCATAAATTATTAAAGGTTTATTCCTATAGAGAAACCATCTTAAAAATAACGTGATTATATGGAAACCATATTTCAATTTTAATTTATCTAGAAACTATCTTTAAAGTAGATTTTTCATTGCAATCAACCACCTCTCAGTTAAGTTTTCAGTAGAAATCCAAAAAAAAATAATAATCTTAATGAGTTCAAAATTCAAGGTACATGAGTTACATCCTAACAGGAGCTAAACACTAAAAAAAAATGAGTCGCTTGCGTTGAATATGAATTTTTTTAAGGGTAATCTAGGGGGTTTCAGTGAAAATTTCAACAAGGATGTGGTTGATTGCAAGAAAAATCCACTCTAAAAATAGTTTATGTGCTAAGTAAAATTAAAAGATGGCTTCCATATAATTACCCTATTTTTAAGACGATGTCTAGGGGGGAAACCCAATCATTGATCCTTACAATTTTTTTTAAAAATCTCATGAAATTTTGCTACTATGCAATAAATTTTTTATTATTAGGACTTGTACATTTAAAAAACCAAGCAAACATTCTTTTCTTGGCCTTTCTTTATTCGTAGGGTAATTTTGTAAACTGAGGGGCAAAAGACAATTTATCGTCATGTGATTCTCACGTGACATTTCAATTAAACAGCAAATAATAATAATAATAATAATAATTCCGTTATCTGCTATTAGACTATAAATAAATTATTGATTCTTAGAAATTGAAATCCAAAAGATGATGAAATTTGGGCTAATATCATCTGAACGGGATCTTTCATGATCAAGTCAAACACCACGCGCATCCATAACACAATCAAACATAATTAATTAATGTAGAAACGAGGATTCGATCCCTTGGGTGACGTTAAAGAACCTAATCACGTCCAGCCACTGTTCCTGTCTCTTGAGCCTGTGCACGGCCACCGTCTCCTTAAGAAGCTCATGAGAACAACCTCCGTTGGTCCCCGGATAATCGTACATCGCCGGCTTCTCCGTGAACCTGTTCCTCCCCTTCCCTCCCGTCCTCAACCACTTTCCGACCAACTTATCCTCCGGCCCCACCGTATCCGTCGCTGGAATCTCAGACTCGGATATCCACTCCACCAAATCCCACGAGAGCAGATACGCCATCCCCGACATGTACTCCACGAACGGCTCTCGACTCTTGCACGGGATCACAAACCCGTAATAAAAATCTCGTTTTAGTTCCAACCGTCCGATCGATGCAGATAGCTGCTCCAGCCTGATGTACACGTCGTCGTCGGCTTTCATAACGTAATCGTAGCGACGGGAAAGAACTTTAGGGACAGAGGAGAAGTACGTGTAGGTTTTGCCATGGTTCATGTTCTCGGTACAATTGAGGACGATGATGTCGTCGTAACGTAGCATCTCTAGGGAGACTAGTACTCTTTGTTCTTCCTTTGTGAGGTTGCAGAATACGAACTTGACGTCAACGTGGGCGATGGAGGATGACTGTATGCCGTAGAGAATTCGAAGGAAGTGGCGATGGTTATAGAGATCAGCACGAGTCAGGATTCCTATAAGAATGCTGAATTCTCGCGGCGATGCGATCATCTCGTTCTTGACTAGAATGGTGGTCGGCGAGAGATGGGTGTACGAGAGGAAGAAGCAGAGAAGAAGAGCGAGGAAAGGGAAAACACCGAGAAGAAACCGTAACCTGCCCATTTTTTTCTCGTCGTTCTTGGTTCCTGTCTAAATCTTTGTTAAAAGAAGATAAAGGTGAGAACATGAAAGGATGGTGGTATGAGAATTGTGATGAGCATGAAATTGTCATGCAACTGTTACTTAAATATTAGTATGGAAAATGTGAGGCAATGACAGAAAGGCAAAAGGTGGATAACAGCTTCTACAGAAAAGGAGGAAAGAATGCGCAATTTATTTCTTCAGGTTATTGATACCTCAGATACTGAACAAACTCTATGAAGCTTTATTTACATGAGGATTGTGAAATTAATCTAAGTGGGTTGAACTCTCTGCTGCTGCTGGTGCTGCTGCAGCTGCAACTTTGTTCCAAGATAAGAAGGATGGATCTCCAAAAGCCCTGTAGAGGGAACAAATCATAAGAAACTCTTTCTATTTAATGAAGAACTGTGAAATTCTCAAAGTTGGATTACTTGATTAACTAATTTCAAATTAAGCAAGAAATATGTGTGCTGTAATTTTCTTCTCTATTTGCTATAGTGCTGCTGCTTTATGTTGTGCGCCACGGAAGCCTCAAATAGCCAAAACAATAGCACACACAAGAACAAAATAAACCACAATAGACACAAGCCAACCAATCACAGCAAGAACACAAGATATACGTGGTTCGGCAATGTGCCTCCGTCCACGGGGCAAGGAGGGGGGAGTTTCACTAATCAAATCAAAGGGGAATACAAATTAGGGTTACAAATCTTACCCAAAACCCTCAAACAAGATCACTTGATCTCTCCAATAGACTCCAACAAAAGAAGCCCTAGAAAATCCCCTTTGGCAGCTCAAAATCTCCCTTGCATAAAACCCTAGAACAGATTTGGGGTTTATATACAAGTTACAAAGAAAACGGGTCTGGAAAACCAACTTAAACCCAAAACCCGATAGTCGGTCGACCGCAGCACCACTGTCGGTCGACCGCAAAATATCCCGAGGTCCAGTCTGCTATCTGGACAATTCGCGGTCGACCGCAGCGCTTCGTCCGGTCGACCGCCCAAATTCCAGAGGCACACTAAGAGTTGTGTGCACATATCGGTCGACCGCAGCTCCACTGCCGGTCGACCGCCCAACTTCCAGAGGCATACCTCTGACTTTTCACCAACTCTACAAATCTCCACCTCGGCGAACGTTTATCCTAAAACTGAGCCGACACCAAAACACCCCCAATCAACTTCAACCGGCTGCATCTGCAAGACTGCCTACGTATCCTCTTGCCCAAGGAATCAAGCCGAACGTAGTTCATCCAAATGGCCGCCAACGGCCTCAACAACGAAGAATGTTCAATAAATTCAAACAGTGACCAAACTTCACACCTGGTACAACTTTGGTCAACATATCAGCAGGGTTATCCTTAGTGTGGACCTTCTCCAACGTGACATCACCATCATCTAATACGTCACGTACAAAGTGAAATCTGACATCAATGTGCTTCGTGCGTGCATGGTAGACTTGGTTCTTCGCCAAATAGATAGCTGACATACTATCATAATATACCTGAATGGTCTTCTGTGCAATCCCCAAATCATCCAACAAGCCATGTAGCCACAAAGCCTCCTTCACTGCTTCAGTCACCGCCATATATTCCGCCTCCGTAGTAGAAAGCGCCACTGTAGACTGAAGAGTGCATCGCCAACACACCGGTGCACTAGCCAATGTAAAAACATAACCTGTAGTGGACTGACGCTTGTCAAGATCTCCGGCATAGTCTGAATCCACGTAGCCAATACAATTCTGCCCTGTCTCATCATTCTTCGCAAATATCAACCCAACGTCCACGGTACCCTTAATATATCGTAGAATCCACTTCACGGCCTCCCAATGCCCCTTCCCGGGGTTGTGCATGTACCTAGATACCATGCTCACGGCCTGTGACAAATCTGGCCTAGTACACACCATAGCATACATCAAGCTACCCACTGCGCTGGCGTATGGAACCTTGGACATGTAGTCCCTATCCTCCACTGAAACTGATGACATCAAAGCTGAAAGCTTAAAGTAGGGAGCTAATGGAGTACTCACCACATTGGTATTACCCTCAAAACTGAATTTCTTCAGTATCTTCTGTAAGTAACTCTTCTGTGTAAGCTTCAATCTCCCCTTCACCCTGTCTCGCTCAATCTCCATACCCAGTATCTTCTTAGCTTCTCCCAGGTCCTTCATCTCAAATTCTGATGACAACTCCTTTTTCAATTTCCCAATAGCTGAAGTATTCCTGGAAGCTATGAGCATATCATCAACATACAATAACAAATAAATGTGCTCACCATCCTGTAGCTTGCGCATAGAAACACACGGGTCATAAGGGCTCCTCGTGTACCCTCGGCTAATCATAAAGCTATCAAATCTCTTGTACCACTGTCGCGGTGATTGCTTCAGTCCATAAAGAGATTTCCTCAATTTGCACACCAAATTTTCCCTTCCTGCAGCTTTAAACCCCATAGGTTGTGTCATATAGATCTCCTCGTCTAAGTCTCCATGTAGAATGGCCGTCTTCACGTCCATTTGGACCAAATCTAGGTCCAGCTGTGCCACCAATGCCAATAGTATCTGAATCGACGAATGCTTCACAACGGGTGAAAACACCTCGTTGTAATCAACACCTTCAAGCTGTGCATATCCCTTGGCAACCAATCTGGCCTTGAACCGAATGTCCCCAATAGAAGATCCCTCCTTCTTAGCATACACCCACTTGCAACCAATAACTTTCTTACCCTTCGGTAGCTTTGTAAGTTCCTAAGTGTCGTTCTTCTGAAGAGATTGCATCTCCTCCTCCATAGCATTCCTCCACCTAATGGAATCAGGGCTGGACTCTGCCTCCCTGAATGTGGCAGGAATCAGATCATCAACGACCTCCACCGATAAAGCATATGCCACCATGACATCATCATATCTCGCTGGCCGACGAATCTCTCTCCTCGGTCTATCTGCTGCAATGGACCCCTAAGCATGACCCTGCTCATGAGCCTCGCCATCCACTGTATCCCCCAAATGCCCGACTGTCATCTCATCTCCTCCCTGTGTCACCTCTGTAGGAGTCTCAATGGGAACAGTGCCAACTGGAGTGGGTGGAGTTACATAATCCTCCACCTGCTGCGATATCCCACCTGTCTGATCTTCCTCCACCTGCTGAGGAACTCGAGGCTTCATCATGTACGCCTCATCGAATGTGACATCTCTGCTAATGATCATCTTCTTGTCTTGTGGATCCCATAATTTGAAACCTTTTACACCTTCTCTAAATCCCACAAAGATAGCCTTCCTTGCTCTCGGATTCAACTTCCCATCACTAACATGGAAATAAGCTGGACACCCAAAAATCCGAAGAGTCTCATAATCACTAGCCACAGAACCAGACCAACACTCCAAAGGAGTCTTCCCCTCTATCGCAGTGTACGGCAACCTGTTAATGAGATGGCTCGCATAAACTAACGCCTCGGCCCCAAAGGATCTAGCCAAACCACTCTGCGTCATCATACATCGCACCTTCTTCAGCAAGGTACGGTTCAGCCTCTCTGCCACCCTATTCTGTTGCGGTGTCTCTCTAACTGTGAAATGCCTTCTAATGCCGTGATCCCGGCAAAACTGCAGAAATAGATCACTCTTGTACTCTCCACCATTGTCTGAACGAAGAGTCTTCACCTTTCTACCTGTCTGTAGCTTCACTTTCTTCTTCCACTCTACAAATATATCCAGGACCTCATGTTTATGCTTCATGGTATATACCCAATTCCTCCTGGAATAATCATCAATGAAAGTGACAAAATAATTTGCCCCACCAAGCGATGCGTGCTTAGAAGGGCCCCAAACATCTGTGTGAATATAGTCTAATATACCTTGGGTGTTGTGAATTACGGTGCCAAACTTCATTTTTGTCTTCTTCCCAAGTATGCAATGCTCACACAGCTCCATCTTGCGGGTCTTTGCACCTTTCAATAGCCCCTGTTTTGCCAATGACTGAAAGGACTTTTCACCTGTGTGTCCAAGCCTCATGTGCCATAGTGTGGTAGTGTCCTCCTCTGTGGTGATAGAAGCAGCCAGACCCCCTGTAACTGTCTTGCCCTTCAAGTAGTATAGGTTGTTTTCCCTGACACCTCGCATCACCACCATGGACCCCTTCATGACCTTCAAACTAGCATCCTCTAATATCACTCTATAACCGGATGCCTCCAAAGTCCCAAGAGAAATGAGGTTCTTCGTCAACTGCGGCACGAACCTCACATCTTTTAATTCCCTAGTCACCCCGTCATGCATTCTGATTCTGACTGAGCCAATCCCACTAATAGGACAAACGTGATCGTTCCCCATGAGCACCACGTCTCCTCTCTTCAACTCCTCAAAGTTGGTAAACCAATCCCTCTTAGGGCAAATGTGAAATGTAGCTCCCGAATCAAGCATCCCCTCCGTAGAGTCGGCATAACAAACTGACGGCAATGCAGGACAAGAATAACCGGAAGAATCCGAATCTGAAATGTCGCCAACAACCTTGGCAACATTCACCTCTGAAGCTTGTACAGCTTTCCCCCTTTGCTTCCTGGCTCTATCCTTCAACTTTGGGCACTCATTCTTCCAATGTCCCTATTCTTTGCAAAAGGCACATTGATTTCTACCAACACTTTTATGGTCACTCCTATTCTTCGATTTTGAGCGGTTGAACTTTTGACGGTTTGGAGCACGGCCACGAACTGCAAGTGCATCACCCGATGCCTTCTCGGAGGGCTCACAATCATTCTTCCTCAGCTCATAATTCACCAATACCGAGGTCACCTCCTTGTAGCTAACTGTAGTTCGCCCATTTATCATAGTGAGAACAAAGGTGCTAAACTCATCATCTGGCAATGAACACAACAATAACATCGCCTTATCTTTATCCTCCACCATGATATCAGCATTGACCATATCCGAAATTAGCTTTGTGAAGTCGTTAACATGCTCTCGAACGGAAACTCCCCTCTTCATCTTGAATTGGTAGAACATCTTCTTCAAGTGAAGCCGATTCTCAATGCTCTTTGTCAAATATTTTTCATTGAGCGTTTCCCACAATCTCTTTGCCGAAGTCTCGTTCATCACATCATAAATGAGATCCGGTGTTAGGCATGACCGAATAACCCCACAAGCCCTACTGTGCATTTTCTTCCAAACCCTATCATCAATCTCCTCGGGTTTCTCTTGAAACTCAAGGGTCTCCTCCAAGTTTTGTGCATCTAAGGCGTCCATTACTTGACACCTCCATAAACCGAAGTTGATCTTGCCGTCGAACTTTGGGACATCAATTTTAGTGTTATTGATGCTCAAATTTTGGATCGCCTTTGTCAAAGCCGACCCCGATGTACTAGTAGCACTTGAACTAGCCCTGCTTGTATCACCCATATTGTAGATCTACTCTTCAAATAAGAATCCAACAGTGAATCCTTCGAACAAAACTCCCAAATCCAACCCGGAGCTCTGATACCACTTGTTGTGCGCCGCGGAAGCCTCGAATAGCCAAAACAATAGCACACACAAGAACAAAATAGACCACAATAGACACAAGCCAACCAATCACAGCAAGAACACAAGATATACGTGGTTCGGTAATGTGCCTACGTCCACGGGGCAAGGAGGGGAGAGTTTCACTAATCAAATCAAAGGGGAATACAAATTAGGGTTACAAATCTTACCCAAAACCATCAAACAAGATCACTTGATCTCTCCAATAGACTCCAACAAAAGAAGCCCTAGAAAATCCCCTTTGGCAGCTCAAAATCTCCCTTGCATAAAACCCTAGAACAGATTTGGGGTTTATATACAAGTTACAAAGAAAACGGGTCTGGAAAACCAACTTAAACCCAAAACCCGATAGTCGGTCGACCGCAGCACCACTGCCAGTCGACCGCAAAATATCCCGAGGTCCAGTCTGCTATCTGGACAATTCGCGGTCGACCGCAGCGCTTCGTCCGGTCGACCGCCCAAATTCCAGAGGCACACTAAGAGTTGTGTGCACATATCGGTCGACCGCAGCTCCACTGCCGGTCGACCGCCCAACTTCCAGAGGCATACTTCTGACTTTTCACCAACTCTACACTTTATTCTCATGGAAGTTATTTAATGCATTATCATTTTAAATGGGATCATTAAATTTCAGAATGAATGTTCTCATTAACCAAGCTTAAAAATGTATTCCAAGAACAGAAATATTTGTATCAGCTTCACGTTCTTATAAATGCAGCACGATATGAAGATTGTTGGGCAGAAAATGAGCCTATATTGCATTAGCAAAATACAAGACAAAAGCAAGAAAAAGAGGAAAGCTCAACTTCTTAACTAAATTCATAACCTTGAATGACATATAATGATCCAATTTGCTTATATTACTCACAAAATTGAATGTACTTCACTTCATGAAACAGAAGGAGCTCTAACTAATCCAAAGACGAATTTGGTGATGACGTCTTGATCTTATAGGCGATAGAGATTTCAGAGGGTATCTCATTGGTCATATGAGGGTTAATTTAGATAGTAAATTACATACTTTTTATCAACTTAGTCATTTTCCTGACTTTGTCTGCCAAAACTTCCATTGAACTTATTGTCTTTGATTAGAAGTTAAAATGCTTTGCAATTTATTGGCTTTGATTCAGAAAGCAATCTTGTACTGTAATCAACGCAAAGTATGTTGTTGGGATCCTCCTGAAATCTCATAAAAAAGGAGTGTATTGTGTTGACTAGGAAGATTGAAAGGCTAGTCAACACCGAAGAATGCAAAAGATTGAAGTTTAAACAGCTAATACATAGAAAAATGAAACAACGCATTAATTGTTAGCTTCTTGAACTTCTGATTGGTGGCCATAGAAGGGTGTGTATTAGTGTTGAGAAAGTTAATCTCTAGGTGAGAGGGGATCCTCTTAGAACTCTTAAATTATCATTCTTCTCGAGTTCTTTGAATGATGTTGTGTGATGATAGTGTGTACGCAGGGGACATAGGGGGCCCACCCACATGGGTTTCTTGTGGCGTTTTTCGTGCGCGTGGGGATGATCACGCGGGAGATGATTTCGTGGGCGAGTTCGGCACCGTACGCGCTTGGGTTTCGTGTGCGTTTTCCCAACCCACGTCTCGTTGCCGCTTGAGCTCGTGTTCGAACGCGGGAATTGTTCCCGCCGATTTCTCCCGCGCCCGTGTTTTCCTCTCCCGCGCGCGCTCGTTCAGCCCGCCAAAATATTCAGCCTTGTCCCTTTGCTCTTCTATAAATAGAGAAGTGGTGGAGGAGTTATAGTGTGGGGCAAAAATCTCAAGAGGAGTTTTTGAGAGAAAAGAAAGAGAGGAAGAGAGAGAACTTGTAAAGTTTGGTATTTTTCCCTCATAGTGAAAAACCCTCCTCCCGTGGACGTAGGCTAGTTAGCCGAACCACATAAATCTCGTGTTTGTATTTGTATTATCTGTGAGTTGCCATAGCTTGTAGGTTCCCTCGATATTTCAGTCCTAGAACTGATGAGAGGAAGAGTGTATATTTCACTTTGATGAAATATATCACTTTCGATTCTTGTTTCCTTTGAGAAATAAGAATTTCACTATCTATTCTAGTTTCCTTTGAGAAACAAGAATATAGAGGTTGACTTGTGCTTTTGTGACAACAAAAAACAGTGCTCTCTCTCAGGTGATATCGCTTCCGCGGCGGTGGGCGTGACTCTGCTCCAACAATAGGTCTCTTGGAGCTCTTGAGTGATCAGTGTTCTCGTGCTCCTTGAGAGATGTGAGATGCATCAAGTTTATCTGTACAAAACTTGTATCGACTGTATTGGTTTATTGGTTTGTGAAGATAGCTGATGAGAGACCATGGATGTAGGCATGTTTGGTCGAACCACACAAAAAACCCTCTTTGTGCTGTTTTGTTGCTAACGCTTCTTATTGAGTGTATTGTTTGTGTGCTCCATAATCTCCAATAGTAGCATCAGATCTAAGGTCGCAGGAATTTTCAAAAAGGGAGGAGTACACTAAAGGGAGGAGTTTGTCAAGCAAGATGGAGGGTCATTTGCGAATCTTTTGTACAAAATCAAAGGATGAAAATATCGTTGAATAAAGCAACTACAACCTTGGAAGTGGTGCCCTAATAGAGATGGCTAACAGTGTAGCGAAGATCCAAGGCATGCAAGAGTGAGAGGAAATGCATGCTAGGCAGGGAGCGGGAGAGGCAAGGCAGCAATGGCTTTCATTGAGGATAGAGCATATGCAACGATCTAAGGTGTGACAGAGCTAACGGATCGCAGACGGTGGTGATGAGCCCTAAAAGGCCGACAATGGCGATTGGTGACAGGGCAATTGCGCAAGCAGCTCATCAACACTGGCAGAGGAGTGGTGATTGATAGATACGTGTCAACCGGCGGAGGTGCGTGGTTAGTGTTGGAAGCAACCAGTCATATTGAGCTGTTTGTGGAGATTTACTTCAAGGGAGGATTTGTTGGGATTCTTCCCAAATCTCATAAATGAGGAGCGTATTGTGTTGACTAGGAAGATTAAAAGGCTAGTTAACATTGAAGAATGCGAAGGGTTGAAGTTTAAAAGGTAATGCATAGGAAATGAAACGATAGATTAGTTGTTAGCTTCTTGAACTTCTCATTGGTGGCTATAAGTGTGTGTGTGTAGAGAAAGCTATCCTCCAGACAAGAGGGAGGATCCACTTAGAATGCTTGAGTGAACAGTGTTCTCGGGTTCTTTGAGTGATGTAGTGTGATGATTGGTCTCTTGGAGCTGTTGAGTGATCGGTGATCTTGGGTTCCATGAGAGATGTGAGAAGTGCGAGGGTTTTCAAGTTTGTCCATGCAAAACTTGTATCGATTGTGTTGGTTGTAATTTGTGAAGATAGTGGATGAGAGACCATGGATATAAGCATGTTTGGTTGAACCACGGGAAGTACTCTTTGGATTGTTTTGTTGCTTGCTCTCTTTATCGTGTGTGTTGTTTGTAGGCTCCATAATCCCCAACATTTGTGTATTTATAATTAAATGAGAACTTATCTTCATTTACAGCTCAAGATAAATGGAAACAACAATTCAACACTTCATATCATAAATTTTTCATGCCAACAATAAGTTCAAACTAATAGGAAACAAGTGAGATGCTTACCTTGGTTTACGCATGTACAAAAATATGAAGCCCCCTGCAAACAACAAGCTCAGAAAACCAAACGTGAGATATGTGATACCCATAAAATTGTTTTTGCCACCGAGCCAAGATGCTGTTGAAAGAACCAAAATCTTCTTCCCTCCAAAGCTATATGTATTATAGTTGTTCTCTATTTCAACAGTTATCTTATCATTGCGTTGAAGATCTACCTCAATCTTTCCATAGAGCTTTCTGAAAGTAGGCAGAACAGCTGATCTCATCCATATAATTAAATCAACTTGCTCGCTTAACTGCAATTGTGTCAGTGGAAAAGAAAGGAAGAATGAAAATGGGAACAAAACGAAAGGGCAACTTGAAATTTGAAATTCCAGCAAAACCCGTGACTATTGGAAAATTTCATAAACAGTATTAATGTGTAGCGTAACAAGTCTACAAGCGTGAGTTGGTTGCCGGGTCATGTTCTGGCACATGAATGCTCTTCATACAGAATTTTCATCATAAAATTTAATTCCCAATAATTCAAACCTACTACTCTAGCGCTTCGTGTTAATTATGAGATTTTTCAATAGTTCAGGGGAGTTTAGTGTAGTTTTGAAAGTTCAGGAGGATTTTCTCATATTTATGAAGTCCAAGGGGGTTTTGCGTAAAAGTATACTAAGCCCCCTGGACTATGATAAAATTTCAATACAAGGAATGAACATGTAGGGTATGAAGTCTAGAAACTTGACATGTTTTGCTTTTTGTTGTCCCACATGAATGCTCTTCATTCAAAATTTTCATCATAAACTTTGATTTGCCATAACCTAAACCTATTACTCTTCCCCTTAACGCCACTTGCTAAATTTTACAATAGTTCACAGGAGCTTAGTATAAATTTTAAAGTTCAGGAGAGTTTCTCTAATTTAAGTTCAATGGAGTTTTGGGCAAAAACCCTGAGATTAGTTATAACTTACAGGTATGCTCTCATTGAGTCTGGCACCACCGATAAGGCCTTCACTCTGGAAATTCTTTGGATATACATCTTTCCCAAACCTTCGATCTTGGTCACCTTTCCAAGTTAAGTTCTTCTTGCTCACCTCTAGAATTTGACTCCTTAAAGAAAATTTGAACGTATCATTGAATAAGCTCCAAGCAATTAGCCCACATGGAACAATTGGTGAACCCTTTGATGTAGTTCCTTCAGGTTTACAAGTTAGGTCTGTCGCATGTTCAGCTGATTTCAACCTTAGTTGCGTATCACTTCGGCTTTTGGCGTACCTAGAACATATCCAGTTGCAATAATACCATGAAGCTGAATCGTGAAGAAGAAAAGACTGTGCTGTCTGATTAATATGGCAGATTGGCAATAAGAAAGTGTTATGATCATGCATAGGCTTGTTATAAGAGGCACAGAGAAGACATTGGGATTATCTAGGCATAATTATATACTAACAATGAATCTTACTAATTTTAAATTAAGGTATAGTATCACAAAACTCCCCAGACTTTGAGGTGGTTTGAACATAACCCCTCTGAACCTTTAGGTGTCTCACAAAGCCCCCCGAATTTTAAACTCTTCCACTGGACCCCCTGCATGTAAATAGCAAATAACTAAAATGTCCTCAGAGAGAAATTCCCAATCTAGTCATTTTCCATATAGGCAATGCATCCTCTCTCCATGTCCCGAGAAAATACACATTGTTATTCACTTGATACGACAAGAAATTTACCTGACGTGAAAGTGGCAACCTTTAGTTAGCATGTCAGTACTGGTAATTGACCTTTATGGAAAAGTTAACTGTTTAATCTTTCTAATTAGAAAATACTAAACATGTTATGCATATAGATCTAACTGCTATACTCTTCAGACAAAATTATGAACTTCTGAGTGAATGAAGGAATTCTGATTATCACGATTACCGGCGATGATTTTGATAGAAATTATCCAGCTGATAATAGATGTAGACAGGGGCCTTCATTTTCTTTGGCACCTGAAAGAATTTACAATTAACCATTTCGAATCAAACCCATAAAACAACCACATTACCAATGCTTAAAGCAAGTAACCAAATTCACTCCTACAATAGATAGAGATGAACTCACAGTTAAAGTTCTAACACAACTCTTATTAGTTTCGCTGCTTTGTATAAAAGCAATTTTATCATTCGAGGGGATGCAATCTGTATCATATCGATCCATAATTTCAACCACCTGTGTATTGAGAAATGAGTTAGATGCGCCGATATATATTAACCAAAATAAATAGTTTTAGTTGCAGAAATAGCCCATGTACTAGAGGGGGTTAACCGCTTATTATCGGTAAACTTGTTTATTAACACTTAGACCTCCGGATACTCATACAACCCATCATCTGTCTGTCTCATGACGTCAATGTGTTGCAAAGAGATTTTCTGATATTTTAGTGTATCACATATTATTCTCTTATTGGTGTCGAAGTTACATCCTCTACAATACATGTATGCATAAACTACTCCTTTTGGGCATAAAAAAGTCTAGTGCTAATTAAATTTTTTTTTTTACAGTAATATTTGTATAATCCTCTATAGTACAAAGGGTGTATATAAAATTAACACGAATATATCTAAACTTACATGTGCTGATGCAAATAGGCATGTAATCCCAATTGGAATAAAAATAACTGCAACCGATGCAAGTACTGATATAATCTGCAATTTAAAAGAAAATGTTCTTCATAAAATTCTCAAAAAATTGACATGAAGTAGTAATACACGTTGGAAACATTTTATCATTAAAGGACTTGCCCAAGTTGGAGATAGTATTAGTTTGGAAGCAGGAAGTTCTTGCTGTGAAAATCTCGAATCTGCAATTCAACATTACAAAATACAATATTTTTCATCAATACATCTCAATTTGTATACATAGCTTAAGCTATAATATTAGTAAAGAATTTTCTTTCTGTTGCATTAAATTGTTAACACAATAGGTTTCTTTCCTCTAGAAAGAAATGCTAATACAATGGAATAATCCTGAATAACGTTAAGAAACTTGGGCTGAAAAGATGGGGGAAATGGCAAAATCACAATTATGATCACATGATAAATTAAAAAATAAAAAAGGAAAATTTGGAAAATTTTACATTTGGGTCTCTTTGATTTCCTCCTAGGAACAGCAGGATCTGAGCTTGCATCGGTTGTAGATGATGAAGCTGCCTCCGGATTCATTTCAAGATTAAAAATATAAAATAAAGAGTCAAGAGATTTTGAGAAAAAAAAATTTCTTTTTTTTTTGGAAAAAATTATTTATGGGAATTTAATTAAGATGGAGTTTGCATTGGAGCACTGAAGGCGAGACTAAGGTGGTCCCACTTGCCACGTGTCAAAACCCCCCTTTTTTTAAGAATCCCTCGATTTTAGGGTATATCAAATTTGAATTGGCGGATTGCAATGATTCAATAGTTAATTTGCACTAATATTTCACCTGCCTGATTTTTATTGATTGCATATACTTTGCATATTAATTGTATTGAATATAGAGAGCACCCTGCACAAGAATTAGTTGCGGGCTAATAAACATAGAAGTAAAAAATATATATGGAAAAAAATGAAAAGTAATTTCACTTTATAATTGACAAATTGAAAAATGTTCGGAACTAGTTGAAAAGTCAAAGAGTATCATATGAGCTTTTTTAGCCGTGTGAAAGTGAGTAAAAGTGAAGGTAGAGATGGGATAAGCTGGTATTCTCATTTCTATACTCCTCATTTACATTTTTCACTATTCATTTTCCATAATAATCAATGAATAGATATATCCATAACAATCAGATAGTACATATAACAAAGTAGATGACAAATCAACAGTCAAATGAATTTTCCATCTTTTCACTTTTTATCATGCAAACAGAACTTTTAAATAAGAAACTCATGAAGAAGAAAAAAATCTGGAAAAGTAATTTTGCTTTCACTTTCTATTTTTGATTTAATCCCAGCAGAAGCAAAACAAATATAAAAAAAAAAGATAATAACAATTAACTAAAAAAGAAAGCTTTCTCAACTATACATACTAGAACTTTTTTTTCTTTCCCCATTAAAGAGCTACTTAAAACTCAGGCAGCAATAAAATTTCAGGGTTCATTAAGTAGGCAGCTTAACAAGCGCTCACAAATGTCACTGTTATCAGAACTTGATACAAGCTTCAATCATATGAAATGAATCAGCAGTGAAAATTCTTTCTTCGTGAATCTCAAGATCATAAGGATAATTCAGATAAGGCTAGGGCAAGCAGGTCCTTTCGAGAGGCCGAGACGGACCTCCATACCGTGATGCATATCAGCAGGCCGGAAAGTTTCAGAGTCTTGTGGCACTGCACGAACAAGTAAATAGAAGGATTACATGCACTTGAATATGCGATTTTAATCATGCAATGTATTAAACCCAGCGTGCTTTGTCTAATAATGGTATGAATACTTTAAGCAAAATCAACTAGTGCTTTTAATAGTTGAAAATGAATACAGAAAAGATTATTGGATATCTTTCACCTAAGCCGTGCTTGTTTCATTGAGCATGATTCAGAAAAAGTAAAGGAACGTGAAGTTTAGGGGGTCATGGTTATTACCATTAAGGTAATCTTCAAATCCAAAATCATCTAATTCACCACTTAGGGCCTCCAAACCTACCATGGATGATGGCAATGCTCCAGGTGGCCTCTGAAATCTGCAACACCAGTCGAGTATACCATGAGATATGATTCACATGAACAATTTATAATGTAGAATTAAGAGTGTGATGCTGCTTTGATATGTTAGAAACTTAGAATCAGATACAACATATCATAAGATAAATTTAATAGTTTATCCAATAGAGGAAAAGAAAGATCTTGACTGAGATTTGTAAACGGTTCCTGCATGTTGAAAGAAGATCACAATTGAGGTCTGAAAATCAATACACGTTGTCAAATTCATTACTTAACTTAACCATAACAGGTTACACTGAAATATAAGAATATTAAAGTCAGTACCTCCCTCACCCAACAAGATAGATGTTATGGGAGCTCGAGACTCATACAATGCCTTGTCCTCAAACGTTTGCACTCTGGGCATAAGTACACTGGTACCAAGCAATGGCAACTACCAAAAGAGCAAACAGCCTCACAGACAAATACAACACCAACAGTCCTAGCCTCCTAGGGTTATTCATGTTATAGTTTTATACCTTGCAATTTTTTATTGAGCAATGACACTGCAAACAACAATAAACAATAGATGTCTGCAATTTTCTCCTTCCCAATGTAGGCGTCAAAAAATGCTGAAAAATATCCAAATACAGCTCAAAAAGAAGTCATCCAAAAATCAAAGAGGACACAAGTATAGACTGTCTCGCACGCGAGACAGTCTTTACTGTCTCGCCATGCGAACAGTCTTTACTGTCTCGCACGCGAGACAGTCTTCACTGTCTCGCACGCGAGACAGCTTTCAAAGGTTCAAAATTGTTTTATAACCGCCGACACGTGGCCACCAACTGTTCAGGAACGTGGGAAACGTCGTGGACGAGAATCACGTTGATAACTGCCAAAATAACAGAGTTTTAAAACGTGGGAAGGCCGTTACAAGAAAATTGTCGGGCAGTTGAAGATTTCCGAGACAGTATTTACTGTCTCGGAACCCGAGACAGTCTTTACTGTCTCCGCCGACGAGACAGCAAACACTGTCTCGGAAATAGTTATTTGTTCAGGGGTTATAAATACCCCCCTGAGATCGATTTTTTAGGGGGGCTGATCAGAGAGCAGGGGCGGAGCATTTTGGAGCAGACAGAGCAGAGTACTTGAGCTTCTGGCCATTCATTGAGATTCGAGCTTTAACTTGATCTTAAGAAGAACGATCGTCTTACTTTGATAAGATCTTCGTTTCAAATTCTCACTTCGATAAACTAAGGAAGAATCATTAAACCCCTCACGATCTGTGATTTGGTGGTCCACGGGCTAACGCACCCCCGGCACAGGCAAAGATCCCACGCAAGCAGCGATCGAAACAACGATCCTGCGTTTGTTTCTAAAAAGTTGCAATTTTCCTTTTGTTGTGTAAAAGAAGTCTTATAAAAAGGCTATCTCTTTTGAATTTGTTGTAATCGATCGAAGATATAATGAATTCCACAACGATACCAACTTTTGACGAAAACAAACTGGCGACCACAGTGGGAGCCAACGATCTCGCTGCCGAGACCGTCGTGTCGCAGCCGATCAAGATACTGGTTGAGTCCACGGTTGAATATGAATTCGACCAAGCAAAGTTTGAGGAATACATGTCATCCTCATCCTCATCCTCAAAATCTTCCCCGCCTCATAAATGCAGGAAGATTTCATCTTCTAAGAAGGTTTTTAAGTTTTCGACTCCGTCGAATGCTACAGATGAAGACTCTCGCCTGATTGTTACTGAGGATTTTATTCACAACACCTCTGCTCACAATGACTCTTATCTAGTTAAAGAATCATTGAATCAAAGCCCTCCGGCACTGACGAAGAGGGCTCGTCAAAGACAACATCAGCGCCGCGCTCGCCAAATAGCTAAGGCCTTGGAACAAACCGACGGGGTTCGTTATCACGTGGACCTAGAGTCGAGGAGGCATTAAGTGGTTCAGTTGTCTCAACAACCAATCACTCATATTTCAGCTAAACTAACGACGGATGAATGGACTTTTGTCAAAAGGGCTTGCTCGACCCTCAAAGAACGTATACAAAAACGTCGTGCAAACGCAGCTCATGCACGTGCTCTCTTACAACAAAGACGAGAAAGAAATAAGGAAACGGTGGCCAAAGAATCACCAAAACTCGGCAAAGTTTGGATTCCAAAGTCTGGAGTTGTGCAAAATCAGCATTCGGAGCCCGTTAAGACTTCGCACCCGCAAGGGGGTGGTTCTAAACGTGTGACTCCTGACATAACCTTAGATTGCTCAAAGGCAACAATAATTTGTCCTGAGAATGCCAACAAGGTTTTACACCCCTAGAAGAAGACGTGTTCGCCAAAAGACATCGTTATGCCTGGGAGGTCATACCAACAGACGATAGGATTTTCCGACAATCATATCGATGAATCGAACTATCAAGCTGTGGGTTTGAATAAATTTCGAAGGAGAATTATTCGAGAAATAAACTCTCATTGTTCCTGCGCGCGACTCATTAAAGCAGCATTGTCGAAATATAACTACGTAAAACGAGAAGTCATCCCACGAAGAGTCTCGGTATTCCACAATCTTTTCACCGAAATGTCAAAGCCTAAGCCGAGACATTTCCGCAAGAGAAGATCAGCTGTCCAAGATGACGAATGCCCTGAAATCACCATCAGCATGGCTGATAAAGAAAAATCTAGGCGCCATTCAAGTGAATCAAATCCCGATTTTTTCCCGAGAGGAAAAGTCAATTCAAGAATTGCCCAACGGATGTCCCGACTCCAGTTAAGAGCCATCAGATATAGGGACTACAAGAGAATGCATGAAGGAAAGTCATCAGAGGACGAGCTCTCGGACACTTGTTCTGCGATCGCTTCGGATGATACAATATCTAGCAGAGGACAAACCAGAGAAGTACTCACAATCACCTCTGATCAGTTCGCTCAAATACTTCAAGAAGCTCTAGCCAAACAACGTGAAGAAATTAGAGCTGAAATGAAGACAGAGATTGAGTTAGCTATCCAACAAATGAGAGAATTACTAGCTCAACGGCCTCAATCTCCTGAGTCCAGTCAGCGAGCTGAATCCAGCCGCCACCCTCGGAATATTGTAGATAACAGTGATCCAGAAGTAGATGAAGTTATTATGGCTGATACACCTCCCAATAACAATAACGCTGGGGGTGGTTTAACGCATCCTCCCAATAACGATATTGAGGGTGGTTCAATGGCACCTCTTACAGGGGGTGGTCTAACTCATTCTCCTCGACGTCCTTCGAATGAAGACATAGACGATGACGAGAAAATAAAAGAGCTTGAAAACAAAATCAACGCTTTGATGACGGCTCAAGAAGTGAAAAAGACGGGTATTCCATGTCCCTATCCAAGAGAATGGGATTCAATACCGTACCCGGCAAAATTCAATCTGATTAACTTCACACCGTTTGACGGGAAAAGCTCGCCTACTCAGCACTTGATTTATTTCAAGTCTCATTTGGGCATGATCTTTAGAAACGAGACTTTAATGGTTCAGTCATTCGTTGGCACCCTTCATGGGTCCGCCTTCGATTGGTATCGACGTCTCAAGCCAGGGAGCATCAATTGCTGGGATAACATGAAAAGTTTGTTCCTCAGCAATTTTTCGATGATGACACCGAAGTGTCAATCAGAACCCTTTTAGATGAGAAGCAAAAAGACGGAGAGTCAGTCGACAATTTTGTCAAACGTTTCCGTAACAAAATAATGAATTACAGAGATCCTATTACAGAGGAGTTTATCCTGCAAACATGCCACAATAATCTCTCCATCGATGTCCTGGAAGCCCTGGGGGTCGTACCATCCAAAACTTGGAAAGATTTAAAAATACGCGATGAACAAGTTGAACACTTTCTTAAAAGAAAGAAAGCTAAGAGAAGCCGACCGACGACATCTGCAATCGCTGGAAACGCGACTCTCGATCCGAAGTTTTAAAAGGAGTATTCTTTCGAAAATGATGAAGCTCCAGCCATATTAAAATACCTCATCGCCAATGATAAAATTGAGTTACCACCTATCAAGGATCAGGATGGAGCTAAGAGGATTACGGATCCAAACTACTGTGCGTACCACAGAAGGGTTCTTCATCCCACCGAGATTTGCTTTGGACTCAAAAATAAAATCCAAGCCTTAATTGACTCCGGCGTCATAACGACGAAACAAGCCAAGTAAAGACGACTCTAACTTCATTGGGTGCACGAGTATAAATTGTTTCCCCTAACTCCGAAGAGTATACGAGTATAAACTGCTTCTCCATGCACTCCAAAGAGTATACGAGTATAAACTGCTCCTCGATACTCCAATAGGTATATGAGTCTAAACTGTTTCCCACTCTTGACGGGAAGTTCCTGGAGAATTTTTACATGTAATATTCTTAAGGATAACACGGTCATGTAACTCAGTATGATGTTAGACCTAGTTTCGCGAAGAAAGCTAGGGGTGGATGGTTCATGTAACGGGAAATTCTCGAAAGAATGCTATATGTAATTTTCTTAGGGATAACCCAGGGGTGGATGGTTCATGTAACGGGAAATTCTCGAAAGAATGCTATATGTAATTTTCTTAGGGATAACCCGATCATTACAAACAAAGTGATAAACACTAGGGATAACCCGATCATTACAAACAAAGTGATAAACACTACATCCCCACGGTGATTTCCGAATACTCTTGCTGAGATGAGATTCGATCACTTCGTTCCCTCACAAAACTCATATTTGGTCAAACCTTTAAACAGTTAGGACCAAAGCCAAATTCCCCTCTCGATTTCTTTCATGAACGAGAGGTCCACAAATTGAACGATCAAACCTTTAAACAGTTAGGATCGTCTCAAACCCCTATTTGGTCAGACGTTTAAACAGTTAGGACCAAAGCCAAAATCCCCTCTCGATTCCTTTCATGAACGAGAGATCCACAAATTGAACGATCAAACCTTTAAACAGTTAGGATCGTCTCAAACCCCTATTTGGTCAGACCTTTAAACAGTTAAGACCAAAGCCAAAATCCCCTCTCGATTCCTTCCATGAACGAGAGGTCCACAAATTGAACGATTAAACCTTTAAACAGTTAGGATCGTCTCAAACCCCTATTTGGTCAGACCTTTAAACAGTTAGGACAAAAGTCAAAATCCCCTCTCGATTCCTTCCATGAACGAGAGGTCCACAAATTGAACGATCAAACATTTAAATAGTTAGGATCGTTTCAACCCCTCATTTGGTCAAACCTTTAAACAGTTAGGACCAAAACCAAAATCCCCTCTCGATTCTTTCCATGAACGAGATGTCCACAAATTGAACGATCAAACCTTTAAACAGTTAGGATCATCTCAAATTCTCATTTGGTCAAACCTTTAAACAGTTAGGACCAAAGCCAAAAAAATTTCTCGATTCCTTCCACGAACGAGAAGTCCGCAAATCGAGCGATCAAACCTTTAAACAGTTAGGATCGTCTCAAACCCCCACTTGGTCAAACCTTACTACAGTTAGGACCACAACCAGAATCTTCTCTCGATTCATTCCACGAACGAGAGGTCCATTTTTAAGTTGAATAATCAAACCTTATGACAGTTAGGATTATTCAAACCTGTCCAGATTCTCTAAGTGGAGATCTCACTTTGAGTTTTCTTTAGACTTGAAGATAGAATATAAAATTCTTCTTCTCTAATTTTTGGGTTTATCTCTACCAACAAAAAAGAGACCTGGAGATAGAATATAAAATTCTTCCTCTCTAATTTTTGGGTTTATCTCTACCAACAAAAAAAAGACCAGGAGATAGAATATAAAATTTTTCCTCTCCATCATTGGGTTTATCTCTACCAACAAAAAAAAGACCAAGAGATAGAATATAAAATTTTTCCTCTCCATCATTGGGTTTATCTCTACCAACAAAAAAGAGACCAGGAGATAGAATATAAAATTTTTCCTCTCCATCATTGGGTTTATCTCTACCAACAAAAAAAAGACCAGGAGATGGAATATAAAATTCTTCCTCTCCATCATCGGGTTCACCTCTACCAACAAAAAAGAGACCAGAATACTCCAATAGGTACACGAGTCTAAATTGTTTCCCTACCCTCAACAGGAAGTTTCTGGAGAATATCACTTAGAATATTCTTAAGAATAACCTGAAAACTCAAAAAAAAATACATGAGTATAAACTGTGTTCTTATGAAGACTGATATAGTGATTAACAATCCAGTATCAATTTGGTAACAAAAGCCCAGCTTCGATTCAAGATCTCGACAACGGTCAAGCGATAAACGTAGTACCGAAAGAATATTAGCTATTCTACAAGGAACTAAATAGACTAAGGAATGAAGAGATCAAGAGTTGAAACCATTTACGGATCCTTCTACACGATCTACTCAACCAAGTATTGAAGAGATCGTAAGTAAAATCTATCTTATCCAAAGTATCACAGACTCCTCTATAAAAGAATGAGTCTGGAATACTTTGGAGGGGGTATGCGTCAAAAAATACTGAAAGATATCCAAATACAGCTCAAAAGGAAGTCATCCAAAAATCAAAGAGGACACAAGTATAGACTGTCTCGCACGCGAGACAGTGTTCACTGTCTCGCACGCGAGACAGCTTTTAAAGGTTCAGAACTGTTTTATAACCGCCGACACGTGGCCACCAACTGTTCAGGAACGTGGGAAACATCGTGGGTGAGAATCACATTGATAACTGCCAAGATAACAGAGTTTTAAAACGTGGGAAGGCAGTTACAAGAAAACTGTCGGGCAGTTGAAGATTTCCGAGACAGTGTTTACTGTCTCGGAACCCGAGACAGTCTTTACTGTCTCGGCCGACGAGACAGCAAACACTGTCTCGAAAATAGTTATTTGTTCAGGGGTTATAAATACCCCCTGAGATTGATTTTTTAGGGGGGGCTGATCAGAGAGCAGGGGCGGAGCATTTTGGAGCAGACAGAGCAGAGTACTTGAGTTTCTGGCCATTTCTTGAGATTCGAGCTTTGACTTGATCTTAAGAAGAACGATCGTCTTACTTTGATAAGATATTCGTTTCAAATTCTCACTTTGATAAACGAAGGAAGAATCATTAAACCCCTCACGGTCTGTGATTTGGTGGTCCACGGGCTAACGCACCCCCGGCACAGGCAAAGATCCCACGCAAGCAGCGATCGAAACAACGATCCTGCGTTTGTTTCTAAAAAGTTATAATTTTTATTTTGTTGTGTAAAAGAAGTCTTATAAAAAGGCTATCTCTTTTGAATTTGTTGTAATTGATCGAAGATATAATGAATTCCACAACGAGACTAACTTTTGACGAAAACACCCAATACAGACGATAGCTTTTGTAACCAAACCATTTCCGTTTACCAGATTGGAACAAGGAACGGTTGTTTTTTTCCAGCATTATGAGCGAGAAAGATATATCTACCTCTGAGGACTTAAAAACTTGTTGACAATACAGGGAAATGGAGGAAGAGGTAAAAAAAGGTAATATTACTAATATATAATCTTTTAAATTCTCCAATGGTCATAGACTTTGACAAGTAAATGCTTCGGTATAGACTCGAAGTAAAACTTTTAATCTTCAAACATTATCTCCTTACGATATGTATTAGGTTCATAACCTCAGAAAAATATTTACACTGTTGAATAATTTTAGATATTCTTCCAAGGAAGCACAGAGCATTAAAATCATCTCAATTCTATATAATTAAATGAGTATATAGAGAATATAAAGTCAAATACCCATATAAGCAAACCAGTTATTCCATATTGTTCATTCATAAGACTGTAAATAGTAACAAATCTGAGTCATTATCAGCAGTAATACCAATGCAAAGATTGTAGTCGCTAATTGACAAATATTAAGAATTTACTTACTAGATAATTAATACATATATCACATACATATCTTTGTCGTGGTAAACTACAAATGGAGCAAATATTAAGCAAAGTTGATGCTACAAAAACTATACTAACTCCGCTTATAGACAAAATGCCCCAAATTTCTATTTGGGTACTATTTAATAACATCTTTATTAACTTTAACATATGTGGATAAGAAGTGAATTTGGATAATTTGCATACCAATTTGCTCCTAATGATACACTAGACCAAAGCACTGAAATATTACAGACTCGTAGTTCTTCATTGTTCTAACTTCCCGACAATAGAAGGTGTCAAAAGGTCTCTGGTGGAAATTTAGCAGTGCCGGGAGGTCCCTACCGGACAAGAAACAACATAGAGAAGCAAAACAAAGAATGTTATACGAAAACTATCTTTGTGTGTGTGTGTGTGTGTGTCAGAGATGAGGCTTCTCAATGGTCTGCTAAAAAATTTCAGGTCTTACATTGCCATAAATAAAATTGAATAATTTTATCAACATCTTGTGCAGATCGTGCATCTCTAATTAATTACCTATTGGCTAATATGAGTGGCCTTCAAAAAACATATAGGCTATAGCCACGTGATTGATGCTGTTTGTGATCTATTCCCTAAAAGTGTAAAGACTTCAAGCAATAGCGACAGAAGAATGAAGAATCAGCTGAACATCTGTTCATGAGCTCACTCCAAATATTCTATTGAACTGCACTGCGCTTTGTCACCAGTTAATCTCAGCCTAAAGGATATTAACAACCATTCGCGTACTAGTTTCACCTCAAACAACAAACCTGTAACTAAATCATATATAGAACTTAACTGAATTTACATTTAACAATAAAAAAAACTTCAAGTTTAAACAATCAAACGGCAAAATAATCTTAACCAAAATCTTGCCGCATATAACTTAACAAATGTCAAAATCATACAAACCCAAGCCTGAAATCACGTCAAAACTCAATTTTTCACACTCAGAACTGACGACATCATACCAAAACTAGGTCTAAAACTAGGGCTACGGATCGGCACCTGGAGAGAATTTGCCGATCGAAATCCATTCTCAAGTTGAGAGCCGATCCGTAGGTGAGATCTAACCCCATCCTCTTCTTCTCCGCCAAGCTCCTCAGATTCTAAATCACCATCAAAACAAAAACAAAAAGAATCAAGCCAAATTCAAGAAAACATACGGAATGATAAAAATTAGGGTTGGGGTTTCCTACGCTCTCTCGAAGAGATTGGAGCGGATGAACGCCGACAATGTCGCCTTTGACTCCATCCAATCCGAAGCGGAGCGCGTCGTGGTTTGCTGTGGCGTTGTGAGAGATCGATTTCGACATTGTTTTCTTCTCTTTTGTTCCTCTCCGCGTGATTTGGGGTTTTTCGTGAAATGGAGCTTGGGGAACAAGACTAGAGAGACTGAGAAAGCGGGTCAAGTTTGTGTCGGGTAGAGATTGTAACCCGTAACCCACAAATTTGAGTGGGCGTTTTGGGAATTTTGTTAGTTCGGATAGGCATTATAGGGACCAGTACCGGTCAGTAACAATAAATTAAGTAAAAAATTATAGACATTAAGTAAAATTTTGATAAAAAATTTCAAGACTAAATAACAATAAATTAAGTAAAATTTTTATAAAAATTAATTATATTATTAATCATTTGTAATTATATAATTTATAAATAACAATAAATTAAGTAAATTTTTGATAAAAAATCAATTATATTATTAATCATTTGTAATTATATAATTTATAAATATAAAAATTTATAGAAATTAAAATGATAAAAATAAATTCTTTATTTATAATCAGTTAATCACTAACAATTATAAATTTATTTTGGAATTTATCGCATCACAAGAGATGAATACATCCCAACTAGAGAAGCACCTACTCATCTATATCACTATCATTTGCAACTCTTTCCAAAATAATTTATCACAAATTTTCAGCTAAGAAATAAAAATTATAAACTAATGAATAATATCTACTCTTTATCTCTATCTGTTATTTCCAACTCTTCAAGTCTATCTTCAATACTAGTCATCTGATCGATGTCTTGAGTTCTCTTCTTGTATATCCACCAATCTTGTAGGCACATTGCCGCTTGTACGGTATACGAATCTAACGATGTCCTGTAGTAGTCGATCAAACGTTCTGCTGTGCTGAAGGCGGATTCCGAAGCTACCTTGAAAACCTACATTGTTAGTAAGTCACGAGTCATGATGGAAAGTATAGGATATGAAACTGCTCCATATACTCTCTACCATTGCAAAAAAACCAAAACTATTATTTTAACTTTTAACTAAAGATGCGGTTAAATATTGTTCAATTTTCGAAACTTCCGTTGATGATTCGGATCTAGATCCACTAGTTAGCCTAGATATCAATAATTTTCTATTAAAACTCTCACATTTGCCCCGACTTGAACTCGTAGAAGCAGAAGGTGTAAACTGATGTGTACTTACACCATGTATACTCATTATATAATCTTTAAAAATAAATTCTAATAGTATTATGATGACTAAAAGCAATACTAGTTTGAGCATCATCAGTATCTATTATCATGTTACCATACAAAGAATTTAACAAACTTCAAAGGCTAACATTCTTCAAACATGGATCAATAAGAACCCCCAAACCAAAAATAATAGGAATAGACCTAAAATACTTATTAAATTTACTTTCTATTTAAAAAATCATGTTTCCAAAATAATTATCCATATGATAATTATTAAAAAATTGAATATTTAAAACTTGTAAAGCAGCTTGAATAATAGTTGGATAATAACAACCAGATAATAACATAGTAGCATCATAAAAAACTTGTAACATCTCTTTTACACTATATATAACTGACCATCATTCTCAGTTATTCCATACATATTACCAGAGCTAGAACTAAAAGTATAGAAAGTAATAAAATTATTTATAATTTCTTTATACTTTATTGCTACATTTAACATTGCATAGGTAGAATTCCACCTATGGTCAACATCTTTTGGAATTAATATAGGTTCAAAAATTTTTTTCTTTTACACAATTGTTTCCATCTTTTAAGTCTTTGTTCAGAAGCATTATGAGCATAAACTATTGTCCTAACCTTTTCTATCATGGATTTAATTTTACCAAATGCACTTTGAACAATTAAATTTAAAATATGACACATACATCTAATATAAAAAATGTTACCATGACATGGTAATAGCAAAGATGATTTGATATGATCAATAATTATATTATTATTACTTGCATTATCTAGTGAAAGAGAAAATATTTTTTTTCTAAAATTTCTAATTTTATAAGTTCTTCTATTATTAAATTTGTAATATTAATACCACTATGTGAATCTTCAAATGCAATAAAAGAAATAACTCTTTTAAATATTTACCAATTATCAATAATCCAGTGTGTTGTGATACATAAATAACCAGTTTGTGCTCTAGATATCCAAATATCAGAAGTTAAAGAAAATTTACAGTTTAAACTTTGAAAATATGAAATTATTTTTGCTTGTTCCTCGTGACAATATTTCAAAATATCATGTTGACAAGTTTGACGAGAATTTTTTTTAAATGCAGGATAAAAACTATCTGTAAACATATCTTCAAATTCATCACCTTCTACTAAATAAAAGGAAGGTTTTTAAGAATAATAAACTTGGTGACGTATTTTCTGACTCTAATTGCGTCATAGTTCCAACTACCGAGACTATCGGAAGATGAGGATTGGGAGAGTAAAGATTTTCGGATATCACGTTAAGGCGTTGCATGACCTTTTTTGTGCTTTTCTCAATGGCGTTTGAGGTGGTTGGTGCCGCTTTTATGATGACCTTGGAAAATATGGTCGCACAACGTACACTTAACCTTTTGGGTGAGAAGCCTACTGTGTTGATCTCTGGTGACTTCTATCTTCTCGAAGAAGTTTCACACATCGGATCTCGGCCTTTTAGGAGCTCTAGGTGCAGAATCATCGCCATCGGATTCGTGATCAACATCGGTAGGAGTAGGAGGAGTAATTGTAGCTTCTTGTAGGGTCAAAATATATATGATTAATTCTTATTTTAAGAATGAGTTCTATCACTTGGTAAGAATCCCTTATAATCACTCTCTCTCAAGTACAGAGGAAGAGAATGTTGATTTGACTTCTCTTTTCTTTAACGTGGGCTCTGTGTGGCGAAAGGATGCCTCACTCGATACTTGAGTCGAGCTTGCCTCCCGTTAACTATCAGAACAAGATCGCGAAAGCTTCTGACGATGACTTAGGCTGCTAGATCCGAGGTTCGGGTCTTAGGCTTGTGCGCAACAGCTCTGCTTGGAATCTTTAATGATCCAAAAGTTCTTTCTGTGTGTGTGGCCAGAAAAGAATATTTCTTCCTTTTTTCATAGCTGCTCACAGCTATTTATAGGCCGTAGTGCGTAACTGATACACTAAAATCATGGAATCATGGAGTAACTGACTCTCTGGATTTAGCCCACGTGGGCTGACTTGATCTTCAAGATCGTTACAGTCGAGCTTCACTTGGTGGGATGAACCTTACTGTGTGACGAGCCTAGTCTTTGATATTGAGCCTCGTTGCGTGGTGAACCTCGTCTTTGATGTCGAGCCTCACTGCATGACGAACCTCATCTTTGATATCGAGCCTCGCTGTGTGGCAAACCCTCATCTTTGAATGAGCTTCATTGACTAAGACGAGGTTCGTCATTGTGATGAACTTCGTCATGTTTGAGTGAGCTTCGACACTCTTTTGTCTCTTGGTATTTTTTTAGTGTCTACAAGACCAAATGATTAGTCAATAATAGTGATCTATGAAGATCAATGAGAATGAAGGAGAAATAGGCTTTTTGACTAGCCTCTGAATCTCTCTCTCTCTTTCTTTTCTCCATGGCAAAGACCTTTCCTCCACCTCCCTCCTTTTGTTTCATGTTGACCATGCCTATTTATAGGCTTAGGAGCATTATGGAGTGAGTTAGTAGGCTTTAACTCCCCTTAAAATGAGGGAGTTAGTAGCCATTAACTCCTATTTAAATGGGTAAGTTAGTGGTCATTAACTCTCCTTAAATGGGTGAGCTAGTGGTTATTAACCCTTCTATAAATATAGCCCTTTGAAAATGGTAGCAGACGAGGTTCGTCAGTAATGGCCACGACAAACTTCATCTTCAATGACGAACTTCATTTCTGGGCAAACTTTATCTTTAATGACGAACTTCATTTCTGACGAACTTCGTTTCTGGGCGAACTTCGTCTCAAATGATGAAGTTCGTCTTCTGAGGGGTGAGGCGTTGCTTGACGAGGTTCGCCTGTGAATGAACTTCGCCTCCTGAAAGGGCTTCATTTCCTAGAGGAGTTTTGTCCCCAGTGATGAGCTTTGAACCTCGTCTCCAATGACGAGCATCGTCTTCAATGACGAGCTTCATCTTCTAAAGGAGCTTGGATCAGCATGGATCATTTAGACGAAACTAAGTTATCAGGCGAACTTAGCTCTGCTTCATTAAGGTGAACTTGACTCTGTTCAAGTGAACTTCAATGCTCAGGCTCACTCCAGTCTTACAGGCGAAGTTCAGTGTTCCTTTGTAGGCGAACTTTAGTTTTCAGATAAAGCTCAGTCTTTACGTGAACTTAGGTCTTCTTTGCTAGGAATAAAGGTAATTTTTCTTGCGTACACTCTTGTATTAAGAGTATTAGGACTCGTTTCAACATCGGGAGTTAGCATTTTCCCTTCACAATCAGAGGAGAAAGCCATTTGATTGAAGAATTATACAGCAAAAGCGAGTATTAAAGAGTATTAGAGAGATGTAGATGAGTTTTGGATGAAAAAAAATAAATGAAAACTCCCTCTATTTATAGAGGTGGTACCCTAGCCAAATAACCAAAATACCCTTAAATTTTAGCCTTTTTTGACCGTTTTTAGGGATATTTTGTTCAAATCACAAATATGACCATTATGATCGTTCGGACCGGGCCGGGTCCGGGCCGGGCAAACGGTCACGAATGTGATCGTTGGC